GTGGCTGGGGGCGGCTCTGGGTCAGAAGGCTGCCCACTGCCCCGCAGTGAGGCCTCCTGAGGCGCCTCACCTGGTAACTCAGCCCAAGGCATCTGAGCACTCACACCTGCTGACGGAGGAAGAAGGCAGGGCTCCCCCGAGCCTGGCGGGCAAAAGCCCCCCTCCGCGCCCCCAAGGAGGTCCAGGAGCAGGCTCTCCGTCAGCCGGGCCGCGATGCCCGCCCTGCCCTCCTGGAAGCCGCCCCCGCTGCTCTCAGGCGAGGGGCAGAAGCTCCCTCCATCTTCCTCCACCGGCTCCTCCTCCTCACTCTGCACCGGGGCCTCGAGCAGCTCCACGCACTTCACCACGCTGATGCTCTCCGGGCAGAGGACCGCGCTGCTGACCTCCACGGGGCGCCAGGCTGGTTTCCCAGGGCCCTGGACAGGCCCGCTCCTGGCCGCCTGGGAGGAACCGTCACCCCTCTCCACGCCAGGCTCCAGTAAGCAGGGCAGGAGCTTCGTCAGACACGTCTTCCAGTACCTGCAAGAGCAAAGTGTGGTCAGGGCTCAGTGTCTCCACTTAAAAACTCCTATTCATCCCTCAAAACCCAGCTGGAAGCCACCCTGGACTGATGCCTACCTATTGCAGACGTGCCTCCTGGCTTTACAATCACTGCCTCTCAGTCTCCCCCACGCCTGCCCTGGGAGCTCCTGTCTGCCTTTGGGATGTCTGGAGCTCAGCACATAACCTGGGACCCACTACAAGCTCAGACTATTGAATAAATCAAAGTCTTTGTCGGGATGATAGAATTTAAAACACATATCAACACACAGCATAAGGAATGCCCACTTAGGATGGCTGCAGGTCCAGGGCTCCCAGCTGTGCCAGGTCTAAACTTTAGCTACTGCCCTGTGGGAGGCCAGAGGCCCTGAGGGGGCGCTAGGAGGCTAATGTGATGGTGGCATCCTCAGGGTTTGGGATAGTGGTGCTTGCCAACCAGTACGCAGTTACGTCAGCACTTTAACAACGGGCACAGCTGCCCGGGTACTTGGCTCTACAGCCTCGCTCAGGCCAGAGTGCACCCCAAGGGGCTCAGCACCTGCCTGACCCACCCAGGGAAATGCAGGGGCCCAGCCAGCAGCCACCTTCCCAGACCGCTCCTCCTCCTGCTACACCTCGAAGGAACAGGGCTGAATGCCAAGGAAGAGAAGGCAGACATGGAGGGGCGAGGGACCCCACTCTCAAGATGGGGCCCACCACGCCAATCCCCCTCTTCCAAATCCACACAGGCCATGACCGAAGTTCATATACATACGGGCACTTGGCAGGTTCCTGGCCCCCGGACCTCTTCCCCCGCAGTGGCACCTGAAACACAGAGACAGCCAATGAACAGGGCGGAGAGGCCTCCCGCCAGCCTGGCCACAGCGAGCTCCGTGTTCGCCGTGGGAGGACTGTAGGCCCTGACGTCACCGGGGTCGGAGGTCAGACCGGGCCACTGCCGCTCCCGGAGCCTCGGTCCCTGGGAATGAGTGAGGCCGCCCTAATATTAAGTTGCTGTGGCTGAAGGCAAAAATGGCCACTGTCACCTGCAGCTCCTCCACCCCTTGGATCTGGCCTGGCCCTGGGACTTGCTTTGGGCAACAGAAAGTGGTATAAGTGACACTGTGCCAACGGCCCAGCCTGCGGTCACTCCATTGCGCAGGCGAGAGTCAGACAACTGCCGCTGGGGATGAGCCAGCCCAGAGAGCTGCCCTGCCCAGGCCCAGATAAGTTTCGGGATAATTCACTACCCAGCAAAAGCTGACTGATACATGCATGACGCTGACTCTGTGCAGGGCCCTGTGATAGACACTTTACATGTACTGTCTCGGTGAATTCCAAAGGCGGCCTGTTATATAAACACGACGACAACCCACACGAGAAAACCGAGGCTCGGAGAGGTTAAGCCACTCGCTCACACCCCGTCCACTCGGCGGGTGAGTGGCGGAGCCGGGGTTCAAAGTCAGCACCTCCGACTCCAGAGCCTGCCTGAGGGTCGCTGGAGACCTGAAGGCCCTGCACCCCCTGCCCCCTTCCTAGAGAACCCCGATGAGCTCAGAGAAACCACACGTGGCCATCGCTCAGGGCTGGCCACCCGGCTGGCCCACGGTATCCCCACTCCTTGCAGGTGAAGGCTCAGAAAAGAGCACGTGATGCCACTCAGGCCAATGAGAAAGGAGGAGATTTGCTGGCGCTTTGGCGCAGTTTCCTGCTCGTAAGAGGGACACACAGGAGCCGTGTCCCCCTCGCCCTGGCCTCTTGGCCTCCTGCCCTGGTACAGGTACCTCCCCAGGGGGTGACATGCAGGTGACCTCAGGGGCCATCTCCTCCCAAGGGAGGGAACCCACCCAAGGCTGAAAAGGTGGCTCTGAAAGCCGAGGGGAGGGGGCAGCCTCTGGGCCCCCGATGACCAGCACGGAGACCTTCCTGACGGCTCAGGTGCAAATCCAAAAGCCAGTGCGTATCTAACATCCCAGACGCCTGAATCCCAGCTCCCGATAGGAGCATCCTCAGCGTCCGGACCAGCCCTCTCCTACCTGAGGCTCCTGGGTGACAACAGCCACGAGGGAGCTGTGGGCCGGGCTGGGGATGTGGTCCCACCATTCCTTCTTAATCCTGAAAAAGGAGAGGAAAACGCGTTTGTCTCTCCTCCCATAAAAATGATCACATGGCCAGTACTTCCTAGGGGTCAGGACCAGGGTGATTGGTTTGGGATGTCTCACCCTAAGCCCATGGAACAGGTCCTACTGCCAACCCCTTTCACAGATGAGCACACTGAGGCTCACAGGGCTGAAGGGACAGCTGGCAGCAGAAGAGCCGGTTCGTGCCCCAGCGTTCTGCTCCCGACTTGCTGCCTCTGTCCTTAGTGGAACAAGTCCAGGGAAGTAGGAGGGACTCAAGCTGCAGAGAATTCGGGGTGTGCCCATCAGCAGTCCCCCAGGGAGCAGCTCAGAGTCAGGCCAGGGGAGGCCTGGGAGGCCTGAGAAGCCGAGGAGACCCTGGGAGAAATAGGTTCCTTCCCTCCCCTGGTCGGCCTGGAGCCATGGAGTGTCAGCTCTGAGGGAAGGCCCTCAGATTGCCCCTGGATCGGCCTCCGCTGACTCCATCAGTCAGTCAGCATGTCCGTACTGAGCACCTACTATGTACCACTCACTGTGCCAGGCACAACAGTGAACAAGACAGACAAAAGCCCAGCCCTCACGTAGCTGATCTTCTAGAAGAGGAGACAGACAGAAATAGCTATAGGACATTAATTATGGCAGCAAGTGCCATGAGAGAAAATAAAGAAGATAAAGGAATAGAGAGGAATGGAGGGAGTGATCCAGGAAGGCCTCCCTGAGGAGGTGGCCTCTGAGTGGCGACTGAAGGTGGAAGAGGAGCGAGTCATGGCGATGCCAGGGGAAAGGGGCTTTCCAGGTAGGGGCACAGCGAGTGCAAAGGCTTGGAGGGAACTTGCTTGGTGCGTTCAAAGAACAGCAAGAAGGCTGGAGTGCTGGACACAGTGAGTGGGGCTGGGGGGGACAGGCGATGGGGAAACTGAGGCCCAGAGAAGGGGAAAGACCAGCCCACGGTGACTAGGAGGTGTCGGTGACAAGACACGGAGAGGAGAGCTTGCAACCCCTGCACACTTGCTGTGTGCCCAGCAGAGGGCGGGACACTCGCTCAGTCAATCCTCGGCCATCACTAATCCTCACATAGTGAGGTAAGACTCATTAGTCCCATTTCAGAGATGGGAGGACTGAGGCTCTGAGACACCATGTTTCCTAGGGCTCACACTCACTGGAAACTAAGCTCCTTCTACCTAACAACACACTGTGATCCAAGACTCTCTTAGACTCTTAGGACTGACGAAATACGTTCTCCCTCTCTCAGCCTACAAGGGAGGAGCCAGTCACACAGCTACCAGCACCAGGGCCAGAACCCGAGCCCAGATCTCCCGACCCTGTCAGGGCAATCGGCTAGAATTCCGCGGTCTATGGTCACCTGCCCCCAACTGTCTGGACCATACCCCGGGCAGGATCCACCTCCCTTTCCGAAGGGAAGGCCCTTCCCAGCCCCACCCTGGCCAGCTCCTTCCCCCAGTCAGGCCTCAGCTCAAATATCCCTCCTCCCACCGGACACAGCGCCCGGGACACCTGTGCCCTGCGCCCAGTTTGTTTCCCTCGGTGCCTGGGCTGCCGTGGAAAGCGCCGTGGCTATTGCAGACCTGACAGTGTCTCCCACAAGGAGCATAGAGTCCTGCGGGTTTTGTTTCAGCTGTTGCCTCAGTGCCTCGCACGCAGTAGCTGCTCAATAAACATTTATGGTTCAAGGAGGACTGAAGCTGACAGATGAGCGGAGGGACTCCTGCCCACTCCCACCCAGGGGGCCGGCCCAGGACTCACTTGAGGATGCTGAAGTAGCAGGACAGGCAGACGACCATGATGACGATGCAGGAGATGCCGACGGCAAGTGGGAGGTGCTGCTCCCAGGGCCACTCGTAGTCTGGAGGTGGGAGGGAAGCCGTGAGCCCGCATTGCGCTAAGTACAGCCTGGTCTCCATTTCCCAGGGCTGGAGACCGGAGCTGCAGGACAGTGTGTCCCAGACCCCGCATGACTGGGCCACCCCCAAGCCCTCCCGCCTCAGCCCCTGCTGCCCTCCCCTTGCACCCTGAGCCCTCGCCACACTGGCCCCCTGGCTGCCCCCTGCTGCTCCACGCTCAGTGCCAGCTCAGGATCTTGCACTTGCTGCTCTTCCTGAAGCACAGAGGTCAAGGGCAGTGACTCTGGCCCTGGACGACCTGAGTTCAAAGCCTGGCTCTGTCGTGTCCTCACTGGTGGCCAGGACACGTCCCTCACACTCTCGGTGCCTGGGTTTCCTCACCGGTACAATGGGGTTGACAACAGTGCTCGCCTCACGGGGAGCTGTGAGGGTCACGGGACTCACTACCCACCGCACTCAGAGCAGTGCCTGCAGGCCCCCAGCTGTTATCACCTTCGCACAGCGGCTCCTTCTCCTCGTCCCCTTCACCCTCGCCAGCTCCAAACCCCCGCCCCCCAAGCCCTCTCTACCGTTGCCCCTCTCATCACTCCGTCCCCTTTCCCAGAGACCGACTGCCCTCTGGGTCTAGATCGATCTGATTTCCTCTTTTCTGTATGTTTATTTTCTGTCCCCCCTCCCCCGAGTGCCAGTTCCAGAAGGACAGGATTTCTGTCTGTTCTGTTCCCTGAGCTGCTGTATGAACCTGGGAAGGTCCACATGTAAGATAATTCATTTTATGTGAGAAAATTCAACACTTCTATTGCAAAAGCCATGTGATAAAGTTGCAAAGAGTTGTTTTGGGGATGCAGCTACAAGCGAGGGCTACATTTCCCAGAATCCCTTGCAGCTATGTGTGGTCATGTGGCCAGTTTCACCAATAAAACGTGAAAAGGAGTGATGTGTCACTTCAGGCTAAGGCTTTTTTAAAATATATATATATATATATATATTTTATATTGATTTTAGAAGGAGAGGAAGGGAGAGAAAAAGAGAGACAGAAACATTGATGAGAGAGAAACATTGATCAATTGGCCACCTCCTACATGCCCCCCACTGGGGATTGAGCCCGCAACCCGGGCTCATGCCTAGGCCAGGAATCGAACCAGTGACCTCCCGGTGCACGGTACAATGTTCAACCAGCCAGGCCAGGCTAAGGCTTGTAGGAAGCAGGTGTGGTCTCCCTGCTCTCCTTCCCCTTTGGTTGGATGCAGACAATGGCAGGGCCCTTAGAGATCCTTAACTTGGGGTCCACAGACCTCCAACAAGGTCGCAGACAGAAGTCAGAGGTCCGGGACTTGGATGGGAAAGAAATGACATCTTTATTTTCACTCACTTCTGACACCTCGCATTCCCTCCCATTAGGAATGGAGGGAGCAAACCACGGTGAGCGCATCATCAGTCACTCAGCTGCCAACAGAAATCACAGCTGTTCTCCTACCACATTGCGGCTGCCAGATCACAAAATGTCACTTATCTCATCCGCTTTCCAATGACAGCATTTATAGAACTGCCCTCGCTCCTGTTTCTAATGTGTTAATAGAAGAGCATATATTCCCAGATAACAAACATATTTAAAACATTTTTATAATTGCATTTCAATAAAACTAGTTTCCCTTGTAACCCTCTGTGCTTTGTTTTATAACTTTAAGAACATTATTCTGAATGGGTCCTCAGGCCTCCCTGACTGCCAAAGGGTCCATGACACAAAAGGCCAATCATCTCTGTCCTAAGAGAGATGGAGCCACGGGAGGAAGACCGCCCACAGACCAGCACAGCTCACGTTGGACTGTTACACAGCAAGAAGCACATTTCCACGTGTGAAAGCTCGGACCACGTGGGCACCTGTTACTGCAGCCTCGCCTGCCCGCCCGGGCCAGTGCGCCATGCCCGTCGTTCCTCTGTTACCTGCCGTGGCGGCGTCCTCGGACGGAGACCCAGATGCTCGGCCAGGGCCAGTGTCTGGGCACAGCGTGAGGTGGGGGGGGGGGGTATTCTAACTGCTCAGCACTCACCACGGACACTCACCGTTAAGCCACTGGACGCGGGGGCTCCACTCGCTCCACAGGCTGTTGTAGTCCCGGGCCCAGGCCCGCACCCGCGCGCTGTAGAGGGCCCCGGGCTTCAGGGTGCTGGCTGGGATGTGGAGGGTGTGCTCCCTGTAGGTCACATTACTGACTAGGAACTGGGGGGAAAGGAAGACATTACTGCACGGCTGGGGGCGGCGGTACCACTCGCACTCGGGCTGCTGTCCGTGGCTGACCCCACAGTGAGTACGAGCCAGCAGCCTGGTGTTTGGTCGTTCCTCCAGCTCAGGCATTGTTTGGCACCTCCCTCGCTGTGACCGGACTCGAGGGAGAGGGGTCAGGAAACCGGCCCCCCTACCCCTCTGACCAGCCCTCTGACATGACGGGGGCGAGTCGCTGAACCTTTCTGAGTGTTAGTTTCCTCATCTGTAAGCTGAGGGCAAGGGTCCCTACTGTCACTTTCGGGCTGTGTGACCTTAGGTTAGTGACAGAACCTCTCTGGTCCTCGATGTCCTCTTCTGCAATGAGGATAATAAAAGTGCCTGCCTCCCAGGGTGGCTGTGAGGAGTAAATGGGTTGATGCAGGGATGCGCTTAGGACAGGGCCTGGCACGCAGGGAGCGTGATGATCTTTCCGAAGCACAGACAGAGTCAGGGAGCCCCTCGCTCCCTCTTGGGCTCTCTAGAGCCTCACGTCCAGCCCAGTCACATGGCCCCAATCTCAGCCCCGCCTACCAGCCCAGTCACATGGCCCCGAACCTCAGCCCCGCCCACCCAGCCCCGACTGGGAAGAGACTTCCAGGGTCTGTAGCTAAGTGGACAAGTAAGATGAGATTAGTAGGTGTTGTCTGCTGCTTGTTGTGTTAAAAAAATGGTGTTGGACAGACTGAGGGCCCCAGGATCCCCCCTTGTATCTTGCCCTCATGCGGTCCCTCCTCTTGAGTGTGGGCAGGGCTGTGACTTGTTTCTCACCGACAGAACATGCAAAGGTGATGGGTGTGTGGGACCACACGTGTGATTACATCACGTGAGACTGTCATTCCGACTCCCCGGACACCCTCCCTCCCCCTGGCTGGCTGGGAAAAGGCCACAAGAGGGAAGAAGGGAGGGTGGCCTCCTGCCAAGGGCCAGCAAGGGCCTGAGGCTCTCGGCCCAACAACCCACGGCCCACGGATGCTGCCAACATCACAGGAGCCTGGGAGCCACCCTCCCTGTGAGCCTCAGGCGAGACCGCAGCCCTGGCCACGCCGTGGTTGTGGTTGCTGCCGGGGACCCAGCGAGGCCGTGCCCAGACTCCTGGCCCCCAGAAACGATGGGGCAGCAGATGCGTGCTGTTTAAAGCAGAGTGTGGTGACGTTAATGTGCAGCATGGAAGGCTGACGTAGAGATAAGTGAACATCACGCCTGCACAGACGTAAACTCTGCAAGGACACACCTCAGGCCTCTGCCGGCTCCAGCGGCCTCCCTCCCCGCTCCCCGCCCGAGGCAGAGCCGGGGCCAACCTCTGGGAAGAGGAACTGGAGGTTGAGGTTGGAAGAGAAACTCATTCCATCCTAAGTCCTTTTTTACCATTTGCATTTTTTACTTCATGTAAATAGTACTTTTTCAAAAAACTTTAAAAAATAAGATGAAATGAAATCTGCGTTCAAGATAAATTCTGCCGGCGAGTGGGTGGCCTGAACCCTGTGCCTGGGGCTCCTCTCCCTGCGGGTCCCTCCCTTCGCGGCTCTCCCTCCTCCTCTGGCCGCTGCAGCCCCTTCCTGCTGGGCCTGGAGGCGGGAGCGAGTCGGGGGAAATGTCTTGTGTGAAGTGAGCTGAGGGGGGCTGCACACCGAGGGGGCACCACCTCAGCAGGTTCTGGAGAAACTGGGGGGAAGCGGAGCTTTCCGGGGGAGCAAGGGGGGCTGGGACAGGACGACAATGTCCTCCTTTCTTTCTAAACAGGAGAAGTTTGAGCTGGAAGCAGCAGCTGGATCTGGTTCACCACAGGAATCGGACACCCTGGAGAGCGGGGACTGGGAAATGGGTCCTGAGAAACGAGAGCCGGAGCCTGCGAGGGATGGCCTGCCTGTGGCAGCTGGTGTTTAACAAACAGGCCGCTGTCGGGGAGACCGCGTCTGAGAGGACGATCCTGGGGAGGGGCAGAGCTCGGGCTCTGGAGTTCAAGTCCTGGCCTCGAAGCCCAGCTCTGCCTCCAGGTGACACGTGGGGAGGGTGTCCCAGCAGCCTCTGTCCCACCAACAAGAAGCCGGACCTGACTGCTGAGGCCTGGGGCAGCCCTGAGCCCCCACGTGCCCATGAGCCCCAGCCCAGGACAATGACCAACTCTGTCCACCGCCAGAGCCCGGCCAGGCCCTGTTTCCCGTCCCCAGTCTGCTTTGGGGAGCCACCCCCCCTCCCCTCCGCCTCATTCCCAGCCCATCGGTGGGCATGTGACTCCTCCGGGCTGGTCAGAGCACAGCCCAGCACCCTCTCTCCAGCCCACAGCCTGTGATGGGTCAGAGATTGGCCAATGGCCCAAGCCAGACAAGTGAGCATCGAACTGGTCCCAGGACATTTACTGAGAATCACCTGGACAGAAGAGCTTTGGGACCTACGCCTGGAGCTGCTCCTGGGCACGTTGGCCGCATGAGGGAAGAGCCTGCCTGAAAAGGGAGCCAACGCGGAAGAAAGCAGGGCCGAGCGACGGAGAGATTCCTGGGGCCTGGGTCCAGCCGTGATAAGCAAATGGGTAAATGTCTTTGGAACCTTATCTCCCCCTCCCCGCCCCAGACTGTACCCTGAACAGGCACAGCACCTGGGAGGACTGATGGACAAAGCCGGCCGCCTCTCCCCACCTGCTCCGAGCCTCGCAGTGTGTGCGCCCCATTCCTGCTCCTACCCTACATCCTGGCCCACGGCCAAGAAGGAACCACGCCTGAGAGATGGAAATCGGCATCACCAGCTCCCGCGTGCCAGGAAGACGAGCAGCAGCAGCAGAAGCCGACATGGGAGCTTCATACATCTGGGCCCCCACCTGGCCGCTGAGGGAGGCCAGCCTGGGCCCAGGACACGGGCACGGCTCAGCGTGGGCCTCGACACTCTGGCGGAGGGGTTACAGGCCGGGCATGCGGTGAGGGTGGGAGGGGGGGAGGGGAACGACGGGGTTTCCAAGGCCGTGGCAGTCGGGAGAAAAGGAGGAGGATGTTTATAACATCCTTTGTGCTGGGCAGGGAGCTTAGCTGTGTCACCCCCTCCATGCTCTCAATAGCCCTGTGGTGGTCCTCTTACCCCCATGTCACCGATGAGGAGACGAGGCGCAAGGAGGGTAAGTGCAAGCTCGAGATCAGGCAGCGGCAAGCGGCAGGGCAGGTATTGGAACCCAGTTCTGGGGGACGCCGGGCCCAGGGTGACCCCCACCTGCAACTAAAATAGCGGCCCCCCCCCACCCGCGTCCTTGTGTCCGTGCGTCCGGCCGCTAGTATCTACTTGATAGACCCGCACTGCCTGTGCAAGCGTCCATGGCTCATCTAGAAAGGAACCAGGCTCTGCTGGGCCCGGAAGGCAAGTATCAGACACCACGAATGTCACATGAACATCACCGCAGTGAGACCCAGCGACAGCCCAAAATTATGGCTGGACTGTGTCCTGGGGGAGGCTCTGTGTCTGCGCCTCCTCCTGTGGCGGGGGGGTTACTAAGCCGGTCAGCTCCGCTGAGACGCCTGCCTTGACTAGTCAGGGTCGGGAGGGAGCCGATGCTGAGTGAGGACTCGGTCATCTGAGAGTGTTCCTGAAATCTCAGTGTCTCTCCCGGCCCCTGGGACACCCAGCTGTGCCCAGAGCCTCCTTTACAGGGAGGAGCAGGGCCCACAAATCACTTCCCTTCTTTGCGCGCTGGGCACCAGGAAGGGGTGGAGGGACAGAAGCCGGGACTCCAGGTCCCGGGGCTGCTGTCAGCCGGGCTCCTCTCTGTCTCCCACCCTGGGGCGGGGTCTCCGCTCCCCGAGTCCCAGGAGCTGGTGCAGACCCCCCACAGTGCCCACTCACCTCCGTGGGGTCGTCTTCATTTGAAATGTTGACCAGGTAGAAGAGCTTGGCATGCAGACTACCATTGGGAGGGTACGGGTCGCTCCAGGCCAGCTGCCACGTGTGGGAGTCGGTGGCGTTAACCGTGAGGTTTCCGGGGGCCCTGGGTTTCACTGGGGAGAAGCGGGGCCTGGTGAGGGCTTGTGGGCCCTGGGAACCCGGGCCAGTGAGGTTCTCAGTCAACACCACCTCTGCACACATTTGTGAGGCACCACGCAGACTCACAGGCATAACCGCTGCCATCCTAGCACTCATTCTAGCGTCGCTCCACTTCTACCTGGAGCCACAGGGAACCCAAAACAGAACCCAAACCTCAGCGTTTGCACTTTCGTCCTTCACACTTTGGGCCGAATCTGTGAGCTATATTACATACTACGTATTTTTCTTTATTTTGAGTCATGTGTTTAAACTTAGGCTCTTTTTAGGCAATCATATCAGTGAGATCACAAGTATATAATATGCATTAAAATCATGCCCTGGCCGGTTTGGCTCAGTGGATAGAGCGTCGGCCTGCAGTAGCAGTTCCTCTGCCTGGACTGCCCCAGTCACCGCCTAAGCTCCCACTCCAGCAAACAGAGGCCCTCTGCCTAGCCGGCGTGGCTCAGTGGTTGAGCATAGACCTATGAACCAGGAGGACCTGGTTCGATTCCCAATCAGGGCACATGCCCAGGTTGTGGGCTTGATCCCCAATAGGGCATGCAGAAGGCAGCTGATCAATGATTCTCTCTCATCATGGATGTTTCTATCTCTCTCTCCCTCTTCTTTCCTCTCTCTTTAAAATTTATTGTAAAAAAAAAAAACAAAAAACAAACAGGTGCCCTCCCACACACACTCTCCCACTCACACACTCACCCTCACTCCAGACCTGCCCACCGCCATGTCCTATTCATAAATGGTGTTTTGAACACCCGTCACCACCCCCAGCCAG